GAGCTTCCTTAAACTCATGCAAAATATAATCTCAAAATGGGTTGTAAACATCAAATATTGTTTACTTCTTGTAAAGAAGGTACATCAGATAGAAGAGGAAGATTCCACAGAACAAGAAATTCATGGCAACTGAGTAAACAAGTTACTATAAATATGGACGGTTCTGCATAATTGTACAAAATTATAGCGACTTTCCTTATGATCCTTATTTCACCATTCCAAAACCTCTTGGGATACTACCTGATATGATACTATAGTTTCATTGATTATGTCCCTACATCCATGAGATCACATCTTACGACCAACATGTTTTCTGAAAAACAAAACTGAACACAAAATGAACTTATTGTACAGATATATTAAATAATGCCAGTTTTCTCTGCTTCCTACATAGGTTCTATTGGGCTGTAACACAAAATCATATTATCTGAGGCACTCTAGTATATTCTCCATGGAAGCATATTTCTAGTTTTGTGATTTATAAAGACCTTCAGCAACAAAATAAGTGAGAAATTGTATTATTTCATTTAGTAGTAAAATTAAACTCAGCATAGCTTTTATTTAGCTACAGTCTTGAAGATTAGTGTGTTCAGCGCCTTAATTCCTAACAGAATACTACAAATTCACACAAATGTCACTACAGACATAATGAATGTTTTTTCATGCCACTGTCACTCACCCTGCTTGCCTGCACCCCCTCCCCCCAAGGCTTTTCAAAATGTATTTCATACACAGAGTCACTGTTCTGGTTGTTTATTTAATTAACATGACAGCCCAGCATACACAGCATTTCTTTCAGTTCTACAGTTTTAACTTTTTACACTTTAGACTCAATGCAGAAAGAATAAGATTACTGTTTTGACTCCTTCAACCTCTGTAAATTTATATAGATTCACTGACTATTTCTGTCAGTTAAAACAGTTTTTTCATTATGCTTTAAATATCTGTATTCACAAAGTAAAATCCCAATTTTGTCCCTGCCAAAAAAAAGTCCTTGGGCCTCACCTTTCCCAAGGGATAAGAAAGAAAATCTTGTGTTGTTTTTTTCTTCCTTTTCCAGTATTTTCCTAAGTTGACATTAATTAATTTTAATTCTGTCACCACATCATAAATAATCAATATTGCTGTCCACATCACTATAAGCTGAGTAATACTAGTGAAATGTGATAGAAGTGACAGTATAAATTAAAAATCCATACTTGTCTATGAAATGTATTAGTCTAAGAAATATATTACATTGAAATAAACTGAGTTTAAATAATAATAATTCTATATTTCTATATGGATTTATATACCTTATTATCTGTATTACATTAGTAATCAAGTTACATTTTTATCAAACATATCACAAAGTCCCATCTAGTGCCTATTATAAAAAACCATATTCATTTCTTCTATTTTTATGTTGTTATTCTTTTTGTATTTTCAACAGTATGAACATTTCCTTTTGATGCTAATGGTGAAAAGTTAATTGTAATTTCAATAACCAATCTTTGGGTTAAATTGCTATAAAAATGCTTCATTTTCAATTAAAGATGTTTGAGAGTTTAGAGATATATTAATTGTAAATCATTTCAATTTTACCTACATATATAATGTAAAAGTAAGTATTTGCACATTTTTAACTGCTATTTATACCCTTGGGCACATTTATACCCATCACAGAGGGGTTTTTCATTAAGAGCTAAAAATGTGTTAATAGGGAGTGCATACACCTTATGATTATTTTATACGAAAGCGTAGACATACATACTAGATTGAAACACGCAAAATTTTATGTTAGTAAAATGGCATTAATTTAGAATCATTTCGAGATTAATGGTAAAGCTAGCCACAATAATTAGAGGAGAATGTATTCTTTAATGGTGGAAGTTAATAGAAAGACATCCCTTCAAACACAGCTTAAAAATGTTAAAATTTCCAGTGGATATTTTTGACTTAGAAAATAATATTTCTATCATGCACAACGCTAGGTATCTCTGTATATTTTAGTAACTGGTGATGAAGTTGTGAGGAGGAAGACATAATTTCTCTCAGATGTGGACATTTGCTTAGAAAAGATGTACAAATACACTTAAACAGAAACACTTGCCCACCAAAAAAAAGTTCAATGGTCTGTTCATCAACAAAATCATCCTCAATTTGGTGACACTAGCCTGGCAGGGCAGAAATAAAAGCCACCCAGATGCTGTCAACTTTGGTTTTTTATTCAGAGTAAAGATATATCCACTTTCATTCATAGATGCACTCAGTATCTGATTACTTTTATAATCAGACTCTAAACTCTTCTTTGTTTGAAGTCATCTTTACTACTTGCAATATAAAGTTCAATTCACTATGCAACACCCTATTTATAGATTAAAGAGGGAAATGCTAAAGAGAGGATAGAGAGGGCTGGTTTGTCTTACGAGAATTTTATCATTTGCTCTCCTTGCACATTTAGAACTGCAAGTCACTGAAGAAAGAGTTTGTAATCAACTTAGTGGCCACTGTCACTTATACACAGAAGAAAATACTGAAATTCTCGTACTCTCAAACCTCAGGATGAGTAAGTTTCAAGTAAACTGAACCTCAAGAGGCTATGTTTTACATGCTTACCATTATTTAAAATTGACTTGTTGGCTATGAATATTGCCTTGACTTGAGAGTAGACTTCACTCCTTCCCCAGTACACACATCAGCACTCAGAGGAGTGTAGCATGCTTGTTTTATAATTATCTGGATTACTGACTTCATAAAGTATGCAGATGACATTGGTACACTTTGAACCCTTAATCAAAAGTTTGTTTCCTCATGATAAAATAGATAAGCTATTTATTATATGGCTCCTGAACTTTTCACACTGTTAGGCTAACGTATGAACTTTCTCTATCCTATAAGATTTTGCTAGTTAGCTCTCCTTTTCAATCCAACAATTATATTCAATAAGGTTAACAACTTGATACATAAATATCAGTCTCAAGTGATATATATGCACCATAATACATTAAAGTATAAATTTTTCAACAGCAGGCACTAACAAAATACTCTTTCAAACGCAATTCTCAATTATTACAGAACCCCACAGATTACTCAAACTCTCCACTTTTTTTACTCAAACCATAGAAAATCAATAAAAAAAAATCCTGGCTAATTCACATAAACATAGTATCTTAAATGTCATTAACTCTTTAACTCCTAAATATCAATATGAAATTTTACTCCATTGGCTGAATGAAATTAATCTGGGGTCAATTTATTATTAAATCATGGAAATTAAATTTTTCCTTATAAATTATTATTTGATTTTGTGGTAATCATATTTCACTATGACAAAGAATAATATGTTCTAAATATTTAAAGGAGTGGTAATTTCATTCAAAAGATTTGCATGAGATGATCAAAATAAATTAAAATCTATTTCCTCCTTAATTGCTTTTATGCTTAAGTATTTTGTTATCTTTTTACCACAAGTACACTCAGCCACTAGCCTATTTTCTCCCCTCTACTTTGAGCAAGTTTAAACCTAAGAAATATTTGTTTTATCTAAACAGAAAGCTAAATAAGTACATTTGTTTTAAAATAAACACAGAGACTATGATGCTGTCATCCATTCTGCTAAATAATGTCAAACAACCACAGATCTGTGTAATCAACTCCATTTCAGAAACAAATTAGTCACCCACACCATATGGTGACTACAATTTCTTAGAAATACCTCAATGACTATTTACAAAATAAAATGAGGGGGGAGAAAAATCTTACTATATATCAAAATGCTCCTTCTTTCCTAAAATTGTCATAATCTTAGCACATGAAGCACAAATTTAAAGAGGAAAGTGTAAATTTCCACTTGTTTTCCAGCTAGCTCTCCATCAGTCTCATGAAGTGTCAAGTTGGCTTCATGTTATGGAAAGGTGAACACTTTACTTTGATCAGCACTTTTATACAATTTCTATTTTAAATACAGATTTTATTACTACAGCAACTACGCAGTAGGTTTTCATAAAAATTTATCATCTTAAAAACCCTGGTGAGCAGCTATACTTTGTCCTCGATGGTCCTATGCATAGGAATAGACTCAACAGCTATGGGTTTGGATTAATTTGGGACATAATAATGATATTTTAGGTCTTAAAACACTTAATAAAATAAAAGTGGGGGGTCTGCTCAAAAACCCAATAAACTTTTACTTGCAACTTAATACCAGGTTTCTCCTCTTTTCTGAAAGAGATGTATGTAGCACTAGCAATCTTTAAAATATCCTCCTCAGTTAACGTTTCCCAAATGATTTCTGCAAATTCACTTGAATTAGAGTATTAATTAAAGACGGATATACTTAGAGACATTGTATTTTTCAGTTGACACCAATAGCGTAGTTTTAACAATTTCTAAAAAAGTACTGTTCTTCAAATTAATAATTAAGATTTTCATCCAAATCGCACTAGCACGTAACATATGCTCCTAAATAATATTTCAAAGCAAACTGGACACCATGAGACACAATCCCATGACCTAAAACTTGATGCAGCAGTATTTGAAAGTGTGTATGTATCTCATCTTCAAGAATGCCTTCCTTGGCTCAAAAATTATTTTCTGATTTTCATAAACGCTTACCTGTCACTTTATAAGAAGTAAATTTTAGAAAATTAAATCCATACGTTGAAAATTCACCCAGCACTAAAAGCTAAACTTAATTCTGAAATTCCTGCTTAAAGAGGAAAGTGTGAAAATACTTAAATGCAAGGAAGTCACAGGCCAGGTGTAGCAGATCTAAAAAGTTTGCCCAGCTGTGTATGACCCTGAAAATGTCATCTATTTTGTTACTTCTTTCTGTTTCTTGTTCAAATTATAGTTTGCGACAGAAAGAAAGCAAACAGTGTTCATTTCCCACTAAGTTTAAAGTTTCACCACTTTTCTAGGCTATCTTCTTTTTAGATCCCAGCGCTCGGATTCCCTCCATCCTGCCCGGGATCCCAAGTGTTTCAAGTTTTCCAGTAGAGGCGAGAGAGAGTGCCTACCTGTTCCCTCGGTATGCAGGGCAGGGAGGTCCTCCGATGGGACTTGCTGCTGCAGCCCGACATCTCGGTGGACACCACGGAGCTGGACCGCCTCCTCCTCTTAAACACCAGGATATCTTCCTTGGTCCCAGCAATCAGCTGGGACCCAAAATGCTCCTTCGGAGCCGCCCCCGCCGACTGAGGCAAGATTTGTTCCACGTAACTGGCCAGGAGGATCCCCAGCACGCCGGCCAAGTACGCCAGGTAAGGTCTCCAAGCGACCTTGAATCTCTCTAAGGAAATGAGGGACACCGTCCTGACCGCGCTAGTCAAGGCGATCATGAGGACGCCCAGTCTCAGCCTCAGCACCAGCCATGTCGCGGCGGCCAAACAGCTGAGCACCACCCCCGCGGCGGGGAGCGAGAGTAAGTGATCCTCCCCGACGCCCAGCCCAATCTGGACAAGCGCTTCCCCCCCGCAGCAGGCGGCCAGCAGCGCAACAGCCAGAGGCAGGCGCACCCCGGCGCGCAGGAGGTACAAGCCCATCCAGAAGAAGGCACACAGGAGACTGAAGAGCAGCGCCGAGGGCTGCAGCCAGGGACTGAGCAGCGCGCCGCCCCCCGGAGCACCTCCCCGAGGCCCTGCGAAGACGCCCCCTTCAGTTCCCGGGGCCGCTTCCTCCGCCGCCGCCACCTCACTGCTCGGCTCCAGGTCACAGCCGACCTCCCCGCGGACCAGCCTCACCAGCAGCGCCAAGAGGAAGGACAGGGAGCCCGCGCACAGAGCCGAGGAAAGTTTCCTGGAGCGCCGGAGCAGCTGCAACCCCAGGTCTCCCCAGCAGCCGCTGCAGCCCGAGTGCCGGGGCGGCGAGGGGCCAGCACAAGCGTGGCAGTCAGGGCCCGCTGCGGGGGCTTGGCTTACCCCACCGCGGCCGGGCTTGTCCGAGACTCGGGCGGCCTCGCCGGGCACTGCCATGGTGTGCCCTCTTCACGGCCCCCACCCCAAAGCTACCCTGATGCCCACTCTCAAACACACATAGACTCACTCAACTCTTTTCCGGGTACCCCCCTCTGAATCGCTACTTCTCTTCTCCAGGCCCTGGAGCCACAGGAAGTTTCAGCTTTTGAATAAATCCCGCGGAATCCCAGATGCTCCAAAAGAGACTCCTTCAAGTTGAAAGGCTGAAGCGACCAGACTCTCCCCCCCCCCAACTTTTTTTCCCCTCAGTTTGAAAAGCTTTTTAAATTTTTCTGCTCCACCCCCGCCCCCAATGTATGCCCTCCGAGGTCTCTTCCTCCTTTAGGATATTAAAAATTGCCCACTGCATCCTGCGCACCGCAGGCGTTGGAGGAGTCGGGGTCGTGGCGAGAGCTGGGGGCCACCCCGGACCCCGCTCGGCGCTGCGCTGCTGCGCTCCCGGCCAGCTGCAGCTGGAGGTCTCTCTCCTCTTCCTTCCTGCAGTTCTTTCTCTATCACTCTTTCTTTCTTCTCGGCGGATCCTCCCCAGCGCGGCCCCAGGACTCGTACCGCCATTCCCCAGGGCTGAATGCAAAGCCTCCTACACCTCTGTAGGTCCAGTTCATGGCAAAGAGTAGGGGAGAATGGAAAAAGGGTCGAGAAATAACCGAGAAGTTGCTAAGTCCCGCCGGAGAGGCACACAGTCCGAGACCCGAGCCTCTGCGGCAGGAGGTGGGAGGGAGGAAAAGAGGGAGAGGATTGGAGAGGAAAGGGAGGGTGAGGGGAAAGGGAGGGTGAAGAAGAGTGCGATTTGCCCCCCCCCCAACTCCTTTTTAATGCAAAGTTGGAGGTGATTTGCAGTTTTGCAGAACAGATGCAAGTGGAGACGACTGCTTAAAACTATATGAATGGGCAGGCGACTGCAGCGAAAGGCAATTCGGCGTGCTTGCTAGCTTGAAGACAACTCCCTAGGAAAGCTTTCTCAGTGAGCTCCTGCCCCCTCCCCCGGAGGAGGCGCTGCAAACAGCTTGACTGCTCTTTTTCCGCGAGCAGTGCAAGCCGGTGCGCTCGGCGAGCCTGCGGGAGATTGGACTGTGGTCCACCGCCCACCTCGCTGCGGCCCTTGTTGCAGTGGTCTCTCTCGGATTTAGCTTCCTAGGATTTTGTAAATGCTAGGGGGGAAATTATATTTGGCTACTTGACTGACAAGAGAAGCCAATCACTTCCTACAGTTCTTAGAAATGACTGCATTTTCTACTGTCTAGCCAATAAGCTATTCAAAGATGCGCATAGGTTCTCAAATCAATTAATAGAGTAAAACAATTTCAGGAAACATTTTAATGCGTTGGTTACTCCGTCTTGGGGAGTTAAAGTTTAAAGAGAATCAGCGTCCTTCCGTTTGGTCTAAATCTCATTGAATCACCTCAATAGAACCCACTGGCAGTATTAATGAGAGAGATGCGGGGCTTCAGTCACTTGGTTAGTTGTTTAGTGGTGGGTTTGTTCTTTTTTAAAAGTAAGCTTTTAAAAACCAGGTTTTAAGCATTAGTTGAAATTACACTGGGGTTAAGTGACCATATATAATATACAAATTAAAGACTTCTACCCATGTGAAGGGCCATAAAAAGGAAGAGGTGAATATGCAGTGGGTTAATTCTTAAATTCTGGGAATATAGATCTTAGAAAAAATAAATAAGAACTATACATCTTAGAACAAATAGTGTGAAATACTGTCTACAATGAGGATAGCTTATGAAAAAAGTAAAATGAGGCCTCTAGTTAGTAATGAATTCAGGGTACATTGTTTAGTATGATAATGAAAAAAACCAAGTTAAATTTTAAAAGTAATTTTGGGGATGTATTTGAAAAATTATTCCCCATCTCCTTTTTAAAAATCATTTATTAATATTCTTGAAATTCCCTGGTAGCTGACTTCTCTTTTATACATAAAACACTCTTGTTCACTTTAAAAATACACAACATACTTTCTACAGTCGTGGGCTTATTTTAGTTTTGTTTATTGTTGTTGATTTTGTGGGGTTTTTGTTGTTGTTTAATTTTGGTCCTTTGATGTCATTTGTTCTGACTAATAATAATTATCCAATTTCTTAGAGGCAAAGTTTCTGAAGCTTCATCTGATGTACTACTTTGGACATGTTGCAAGGAGGGGCCAGTCCTTGGAGAGGGATGTCATGTCATTCTTGACACAAGAGAGGAAGACCCTCAATGAGATGGATTGACTCAATGACTGGGATAATGGGGGTAGGTATGTCGGAGGCAGTAAAATTGGCACAGGATAGAGCAGGGTATAGGGCTGTTGTACATAGAGTCGTTATGGGTCACAAGCAACTCAACAGCACATAACAATAGAACAACAACATTACACTTTAGGTTAAACTATTATGACAGTCTAGATTATATCATTAATTCTGTATGTAGAAGCAAAATAATAGAAAGAAAAGACAAAGGGAATAACCCACTATTGCTTCTATCAAGTGAATTCCAAAACATAGCAACCTTACAGAACAGAGTAGAACTGCTCAGAGGGCTTCTGACATTGCAAATGTTGCAAACTGCTCCTTCTTTTTCCCACAGAGTTCCTGGTAGGTATGAATAGCTATTCTTTGGTTAGCAGTCAAATGTTTAACTCTGTGATACCAAGGCTCCTTCTGAAATGTGATAATGGAGGTAACATGAATTCCTGGTAGGTAGGTGTGAAGGGCATATTAGAAAGAGAAGGTGGCTTAAGTCTTAGATTTAGAGTGAACGTCTTGGGGAGCAGCCTGCTCTAGTTAGAGGGTGGTATTAATATTAATGTTATGACATAAATGGATATGAGGAGCTGTGACAGTACCACTTCTTTCTGTCAGATGTCCAGAACTGTGCTACCACACGGAGGACAAGTTGGGCAGCTAGTCAGTGGCAGTGGGCACCATCTGTTTAATAATTAAGGAAACAGGAGCAGCAATGTCTTTGCCAAAGACAAATGAGCCCCCTAGCATGCACACATACTTTCACGAGCTGCCGTTTTAGACCTATGATTTATATGCCAAATCCTACCTGGGACACTTCGGAGTGAGAAACCTTGATTAGAAAATCACATTAAATGTTCATTGGCATCAAAGGCAGCATATTTAAATAACTAAAAATTTCTGCATATGTCAAGATCAGAGCAAAAAGAATAGGAGAAATTTGATATTTTAAGTGCCCCTGCCCTCTTTAGAAAATATGTTGTAAAAATGGAATTCTTAAGAAAGGTTATTTTTAAACATTTTAATAGAAAATAGTCCACAAAATTACAATTAAAAAGTGACACCGAAAAGAAAGGAGGTAGATTCTGTCCCTTCTCCCTACTTTATTAGTATCCAGAAGACAGAGGCAGGTGAGCAAGAACAGTTGATACATACATAGAAAGAGTCAGAGAGCTGTAGGGCTACACAAACGGAAAAAGGTGATTAAAGTTAGAGAGTAGAATAAAGGCTTTTCCATGCATAGTGTATAATGTGTTTCATTGCTAACTAAAAAGTTGATGGTTTGAATCCACCAACTGGTTCATGAGGGAAATATAGGCAGTGTACTCCTACAAATATTAATAGCCTCACAAACCCCATAGGGGATCACCATGAATCAAAGCCAACTTCACAGTTGTGAGTTTATTACTTGTTTTATTTTCTGTATTAAATGAGACACATAAAATGGGTATAGAGTTGTGATTGTTGTGTGGCATCGAGTTGAAACCAGCTCATAGCTGACCCTCTAGCAGGTTTTCAGAGGCAGTTAATTGCACCGGAAAAGATTGCGCCATCATTCTCTCATGGAGCAGCTTGTGGCCTGGTGGCCTTGAACCATGTGTCGTCAGAATTGCAGCACAGCTTCTTGCCACTAGGGTACCAGGGCTCCTGAGCAGTAATCATAGGTAAATGAAAACCTGTTTTCTACAGATAATCTTGAGTTTTCATTTAATAAAGTCAGTTTAAATAATAGTTCTATCATGTTGTTTGATCTCATGTACAACTCATAGTGACCCTATGAACAACAGATCTGACCCTGTCCTATCCTGTGCCAACCTCACAAACTCTAACACACTTTCACCCACTGCTACAGTCATAGTTGATCCACCTGGTTGAGGGTCTTCCTCTCCTTCACTGTCCCTCCACCTTTCCAAGAATGAGAATCCTTCTTCAAGGAATAGCCTCTTCTGACAACATGCTTCAAGTATGAGTGATGAAGTTTTGCCATCTCCCTCCTCCCCTACTACCCATATGAAATCATCACTCTTGATTTCATCCCCTATTTACTTTGCTTTACTTATAATATACTAGTAAGGCTACCTGAACTTCTCTTTGAAGTAAATCCTGGACCCATGCGCCTTCACTATCCCTCCTATACTAGCAAACATAGACCCAAAATCAGCTCTGGCCAAGAAAATTGCTGTAGCTACTTAATTGGTCTTACTTTTTAAAAATGTTCTTTCTAAATAGCAGAAATTTCAAAAATATAGCTCAGATGATATCATTCCCCAGCTTAAAACTATCCAAAGGCCTCACCTACAAAGACTTTCATGATCCTTTCAAGGTCACTTTCTCTAACTTCTTTTGCTATCCCAATTCTTTTATCTCACTGTCCAGCAGAACTTCTTCAATGATTGAAATGTATTCTCAAGTGTCCATTATGGTAGACACCAGCCATGTTCGAATTTTCTTGTTGTTTTTATGCACCATCAAGTTGCCTGTGACTCATTGTGACTCTATGTATAATAGCTCTACAACTTGCTTTATCCTGAGCCAGTCTCACTAACTCCAACACACCTAATCCCATTGTCTCAGATACATGTCAATCCATCTCATTCAGTATCTTCCTTTCCTGTGCTATTGCTCAACCCTTCTGAACATGATGTGCTTCTCCAAGAACTGGTCTCTCCTGGTCACTTGCTAAAAGTATGTCAGACAGAGCTTTAAAATCTTTACCTCCAAGGAGAAACTTGGTTTCATCTCTCCAAGACAGATCTATTTCATGGTATGTTCAATA